TTGGCGAGCAGGAGAGCGTAGTAACTACATAAAACTTAGAACTGGGAAAAGTGGGAACTGCTCCATCAGGAGAAGTCTGCATTGTACTCATCTTAGGTTCTGGAAGCTGTTTTCCATAAAATGTGCAGCGCACAGATAAACGTTGGGATTATAATGTTCAGGAACAGTATTTTAAATACATTTTACCCATTCTAAGTTTGTCAGCCTTAGAAAGGTCAAACAAATGAGTTAAAGGAATAGGTCTTTTAACAATTAAAATTCTGTCATAATTGACTCACCCTCAAGTTATTTCAAACCTGTATGAATTTCTTTGTTCTGCTGAACACAAAGGAAGATATTTTGAAGAATGTCGGTAACCAGACAGTTGATGTGCCCCATTGACTACACAACATGAGGGTGAGTAAATGATGACAGAATTTTAGCTCGTCCAGGCCTCGTCAGCTTTTTCGAGTATTCAGTGGCCAGGGATTATTCAAATGAGTAACATTGTGACTTCATAAAGCCCAGAAAAGTTGCGTTGTAGTCCAAACGAGCTGTTCGTTGTAGTTCTTGGAAAGTGGATTCTGTTCAATAAAATAACTTTGGAGTGGACTTTGAGCTTTGTAACCTTGCAGATGTTTTTTATGCTCGAACAGCAACATTACAAACTAACTAAAGTTGAAAAAGTGGAAAAGCATAATAGGACCCCTTTAAGACTTCACATTGGTTCACTTCAGCCGGGGACTTCATCGACTAGCTGAAATATTCTAACTTACACACTGTTTCCAACAATCGGAGCAGATTTGAAACACCGACTGAAGGCGACTTGGCTCGTGTGGGCATGATCAGTCATAAAGTATCAAATTGCAATCATAATCGGCCTTACAGTCGTTGAGTGCGTCCCCAGCTTTAGTAGCATGAAAAACAAAACGGTTATTCAAATTGGGAATAAATTATGTACCGAAGGCGAGCAAAGAATGGTCCCCATCACTGAAACGGTCACTGACTTTTTTCAGTCTCGCAAAAACTCCTGTTACGATCAATGAAGCCGACTACACTGCACAATGACTCTCTTACTTACAGCACATGTGGCTGCATTTACACTGCAAGTCTTAATGCACAGATCCGATCTTTTGGCCCGACTGTTTACACTCACTTTAGACATGACTGGTATCCGATATCTGTGTTTACATTAATTGACGCCCCAAAATGATTTTCCGTGATCGTTTTACTATCCACATGGTAGACCCTGGTTTTGAATGGCCGTGGTATTAAAATTATTTATAATTCATGTCGGGTGGACATGATTTATTTCCAGCATGGACAAGATAACAGCTGTCATGACTCATGAATGTTTTGCAGTGCAAATTCTGACAGAACAGATATAGTCAATAAAAACGAAAAAAAATTGTTTATCTACAGCTCAGATCTAGAATTCTGAAGTGAAATAAAATAGCCCAATATATATATTTTGATGAATGTGTCAAAGCATTTCATAAGCATATGATGTATTCACTGCCGCAAGGAGTGCTATGGCAGGAATTATGGGAAAGGTCTTCTCATTCAGGTAAACGATGGCCATGGCGGACCAAGAGTTTGAAGAGAATCAATAGGAGTATAAGATATGCAGTTGTCATAGAGTGGTTTGGATGTAATTCTGTGAAATGTATTACTGCTAGACCAGTGCAAGATGTCAAATACACTATATTGCCAAAAGTATTGGGACACCCCTCCAGATCATTGAACTCAGATGGTCCAATCACTTCCATGGCCACAGATGTATAAAATCAAGCACTAGTTACAAACATTTGTAAAGAATGGGTCGCTCTCAGGAGCTCAGTGAACTTAAGCGTGTGACCGTGATCGGTTGCAACCTGTGTAATAAGTCCATTTGTGAAATTTCCTCACTACTAAATATTCTACGTTCAACTGTTAAAGGGGGGGGGGGGGGGTGAAATGCTATTTCATGCATAGTGAGTTTTTTACACTGTTAAAAGAGTTGGATTCCCATGCTAAACATGGACAAAGTTTCAAAAATTAAGTTGTACGTTTGATTGAGTATTTCTGTTCTCAAAATACTCCTTCCTGGTTGTCACAAGTTTCGGAAAGTTTTTTTCGAGTATGGGCGCGTATGACGTCAGATGCGCCGGAATGTCCTTATACGGTCCTAAGCGCACTTCTCTCGGAAGGGCGCGCGCGCGCAGCTGTAGAGCGATAGCCGTAACCTATGCCCATCAAAGCGCTGTGCAGCAGCTGCGCTGCAATATGTCACCAAAGAAGTGTGTTTTCGGTTGCCAAGGCAAGACAACACTGCACAGATTCCCAAAGAATCAAGCGTTAAGGGGCCAGTAGATGGAGTTTGTTTTTCCAGAACATCAACACAGTTGTGCAATTGTTCTTGTTTGTTCCATGCATTTCGAGGATGATTTTTTTATAAACAAGGCCCAGTTCGAAGCCGGATTTGCTAATCGTTTAGTTCTCAAGGATGGAGCAGTCCCAACACTAAAGGTTAACGGTCTTGCGTTGGAACCGCAGGCGGTGAGTAGAACTGCTTCAAATATCTGTGTGTGTCTATCGGCGTGTAACTTAAGCACAGCAAGTAGGCTAAACAACATGATCACGAATAGTTAATGCATCTATGGAGTATGCGATGTATGTTGTGTGTTTGTTTAAATACATTTGTTTAGGTGGCTACTGTAGGTGTCTGTTTGTTTATTGTAAAACCAAATCATGTCTTCATAAACCACGAGTAGACACACAAATGTTCTAAAACTTCGTGCGCTCGTGATTATTTAGCTCCGCCCACACGGCACGCCTCCACCCGCTCTGCTTTTTCCGGAAAGACTCGGTACAGCCTATCTTTCTTTTATAAATATAATAAAACTAAAGACTTTTTGGAGATATGATGGATGCAATACTACTCTATAGGTACTCAAGATTAACATGAGATTGACTGAAACTGAGTGTTTCACCCCCCCTTTAATGGATTTTTTGACGGGATGTCAAAAGGTGGTTAAACTGGGAAACTACACCTCCTCTACATCGGAGCCCTTCAGGGCTGTGTCCTCAGTCCCCTGCTTTACTCCCTCTAAACCAGCACCTGTGTGGCTAGACACAGTTCTAACAAACTGGTGAAGTTTGCCGATGACACAGTGGTCTTAGGCCTCATTAGTAAAAACGATGAGAAGGCCTACCTTGAGGAAGTGGATGCTCTTTCCACATGGTGTCATACTAATAATCTCTCTTTGAATGTTATTAAGACTAAGGAGATGATCGTCAACTATGGGAGGAAGTGAGGAATTACTTCATTTGATTTGATCATTTGATGATCGATGGGGCCACAGTTGAAAGGGTGAGCAGTTTTAAATATATTGTTGTTAGTATTTTGCGTTGTGGGACGAGAAACTAGGGGGAAAACATTTCACTACATTGCATCGTATGTGACAAATAATAAAGAACCTTGAACCTAAGTGGAAGCAATTGGGAGCAACAGCAACTCAGCCAAGAAGTGGTAGGCCACGTAAAATCACAGTCAGCGCATACTGAGGCGCACAGTGTGCAGAAGTCGCCAACTTTCTGCAGAGTCAATAGCTACAGACCTCCAAACTTGGCCTTCAGATTAGCTCAAGAACAGTGCGTAGAGAGCTTCATGGAATGGGTTTCAATGGCCGCTTCTCGGTCTGCCAATCCGATGGACGAGTCTGGGTTTGGTGGTTGCCAGGAGAACGGTACTTGCCTGACTGCATTGTGCCGAATGTAAAGTTTGGTGGAGGGGGGATTATGGGGTGGGGTTGTTTTTCAGGACTTGGCCCCTTAGTTTCAGTGAAAGGAACTCTTAATGCTTCAGCATACCAAGACATTTTGGACAATTTCATGCTCCCAACTTTGTGGAAACAGTTTGGGGATGTTCCTGTTCCAGCATGACTGCGCTCCAGTGCACAAAGCAGGACCATAAAGACATGGATGAGGAGTTTAGTGTGGATGAACTGGACTGGCCTGCACAGAGTACTGACTTCAACCCGATAGAACAGCTTTGGGAAGAATTAGAGCGGAGACTGTGAGCCAGGCCTTCTCGTCCAACATCAGTGCCTGACCTCACAAATGCGATAAAAATTCCCATAAACACACTCCTAAACCTTGTGGAAAGCCTTCCCAGAAGAGTTGAAGCTGTTATAGATGCAACTCCTTATTAAACCCTACGGATCAGGAATGGGATGTCATTAATATTCATGGTCATGTAAAGGCAGACGTTTCAAAACTATTGGCAATATAGTGTGTTTAATCGGACCACAGGGTGGCAGGGCACTGGCCAAGCACTTGTGCTGTATTCACATATCTGAGCAAAGTATGTTTCTAGCCCAATACCTTATCCATTTAAAGCGTACCTATTATGCTTTTTCGGATATGACCTTTCATGTAGTGTGTAATATAGCAGTTTGTGAATGTTATTGTCTCCTAAAAAAAAAGCTATGTAGATTTTTAACACATTTTCATAATAGCAGCCTCTGGTCTTGATTAACTGAACAGCGTCTCATTGCCCCCCCCCTCAAACACTGTAGTGTATCTGAGACTGGAAGAGTTTGGTTCGTGTTGTTCATGTCGAGAAGACGCTGTTTTCTGCTGCCAAAGCAAATCCACTGTGATGAGATTGGTACGGTAAAACCCATGCCATCGCTACTGTTCGTATCACTGTGTATCAAGTGCTGAAATTCAGATATGATAATGAGCATTTGGTTTCTGACCAATCCCAGCAGACTGGGCCATCTGACCAATTAGAGCAGAGCAGTTCTCGGGAAGGAGGGGTTTAGAGAGACTGAATCCTTGAACAAAACGTTTCAGTGTGAGGAAAGAGCTGATGCTACAGTGGATATTATGAGAAAAAGACAGTGTTTTTTAATCTTGGATGCATGTAAATCTATTGTAGGAGACACCAACATTAGGAATCTTTACATTAGCATAATAGGGTCCCTTTAATGGTGAAATTCTTAATCTTATACTGAACAGCACATTTGTAAACTCACCATATCCCGCAGCGGTTTCATCACACCCCACACTTTATCTTCTGTGATGTGGATTCCCAGCTCCTCACCAGCTTCTCTGAGAGCCGTCTCTACCACAGATCTGTCTGACGGGTCTTTCTTCCCCCCTGCAAAACTGACACAAGAGGGATGAGAAGGGCATTCAGCAGAGGGCCGACACGTGAGCTACTCTATGCAGCTTTTAGCATTAGAAACGAGTTTTAGGTGACCTTTTACCTGACATCCCCTTTGTGCCGCCCCTTCAGCTGGGCCGATCTGAGGGTGAACAGCAGTGCGGGATCCCCGCTCACAGCACAGAGACACACCAGCACTGCCGCCCAGCTCTTCCCCTCCTGCTCGTACAGAGCAGCGCTGGCCTGCAGAGAGCGTCGGCAGCGAGCCTCGTTCCCCGCGGACAGACACCGGCCCGTAACACCACGAGCCTCGTTCCCCGCGGACAGACACCGGCCCGTAACACCACGAGCCTCGTTCCCCGCGGACAGACACCGGCCCGTAACACCACGAGCCTCGTTCCCCACGGACAGACACCGGCCCGTAACACCACGAGCCTCGTTCCCCGCGGACAGACACCGGCCCGTAACACCACGAGCCTCGTTCCCCGCGGACAGACACCGGCCCGTAACACCACGAGCCTCGTTCCCCGCGGACAGACACCGGGCCGTAACACCACGAGCCTCGTTCCCCGCGGACAGACACCGGCCCGTAACACCACGAGCCTCGTTCCCCGCGGACAGACACCGGCCCGTAACACCACGAGCCTCGTTCCCCGCGGACAGACACCGGCCCGTAACACTGCGCTGCTGGCCGTCTCTGTGCAGCCCGCGGGTCTGACCCGTCCGCACTGCAGAGCGGCCCGCAGGTTTACAACGCCTCCTCCACAGGCCTGAGCCAATGTCGGCCAACCACCGGGAGCTGCCTGTGCTGTGTGTGCTGCATGCTTGTCTTTTAATATGGCTTTCGGGAGAATGTTGGCATTTCTCCAGTTTGCTGTAGGTCAGAAGGCACTTGCTCCAGTTAGTGGAGCACTGGGATGGAGATCCATTCAGAGAGGCGTGTGAACACAGGACAAGAGTCTGTGGTGTGTGTACCCAGTTAATCCTGCTAAAATCCATGTGGGGTAACAGAAAATGAGTGCTGATGCATATCCGTCTTGTGGCCCGTGGACACACATGTTCAGAAGAGTCCAGAACGACAGAGAATCCTCTAGAAACGGAGCAGCGGGTGTGTTTTTCCCGCAGGACATGTGAAGAGCGGCTGCAGACGTGTTCATGTTGGACACGAGCGTCTCTGAGCATCAACTGCAGTCTCTGAAACCTCAGCTGGTTTACACAAGTCTTCATGTGTGGAGTCCTGAACATCCTGTGATAACACAGTCCAACATTAAAGGGATAGTTCATCCAAAAATGATAATTAGCCCATGATTTACTCACCCTAAAGCCATCCTAGGTGTATATGACATTCTTCTTTTAGACGAATACAATCAGAGTTATATTAAAAAATGTCGTGGCTCTTCCAAGCGTTATAATGGCAGTGAATTGCTGTTTCTGTTTTGAAGTCCATAAAAGTGCATCCATCCATTATAAAAGTAATCCATATGGCTCCAGGGAGTTAATAAAGGCCTTCTGAAGTGAAACCATGCGTTGGTGTAAGGAAAATATCCATATTTAAAACTTTTTAAACTATAAATGCTGTTTCCGACAGACAGCCGTACCCATCGATTTATGGTGGAAGAGTAACCCCTGACCCAATGCACAGCGTAATGACGAAGTGGAAACTCAGAGCAAAGAGCAAAACAAAACACTGGTCGTGAATTAGACATTTTGAACAAAAATGTTGGAGGATAAGCTATCTATAATAGAAGAGGAGCTTCAGTTTGTTGCACAGCCCTATTTGTTTAAACCGCGAGATGCGTCTAAGCTTACGCTACTCCTACATCATACATGCGCCACGGGTTACTCTTGTGGCGCAAGTCGACTTGCGTAATATGCGTACTTTATTAACCCCCCGGAGCCGTGTGGAGTATTTTTATAATGGATCGATGCACGTTTATGATGGATAGATGCACTGTTCTGGGCTTTAAATTTTCACCTGCCATTCATTCCCATTATAAAGCTTGGAAGAGCCAGGACATTTTTTAATATAACTCTGATTGTATTCGTCTGAAAGAAAAATGTCATATACACCTAGGATTGCTTGAGGGTGAGTAAATCATGAGGTAATTTTCATTTTTGGGTGAACTGTCCCTTAAACAACAGAGCAGATACCTCTGGTTTTATCTGAAGCCTAAACGGTGGAGACCCGGGCCCGTACCATGAAGCTAGCTTAAAGGTGACGTATTATCCCCAAGATGCAATATAAATCTATGGTGTCCCCAGAATGTGTCTGTAAAATTGCAGCTCTAAATTCCCGCCAGATCATTTATAATGGCTCGTCAAATTTTCCCCTTTTTGGGTGTGAGCAAAAACGCTCCGTTTTTGTGTGTGTCCCTTTAAATGCAATTGAGCTGCAGCTCCGCCTTCGTTCATAAGAGGGCGGAGCCTAGGGGTGGGCGATATGAGCAAAAATTCATATCGCGATATTTTTCACTGTCTGGACGATATCGATATTATATTGCGATATGAGAAAAAAAAATTGGAATCACATTTTAGTACACCTTAGTTAAATTACAGGCAAAACATGTATTTTAACCCAATTACTAGAAAAAGGTGAGGGATTTAATTAGACATAGACCTGAAAAATCTTTTTTTATTGTGCCATTTTTTTCTCAAAAAGTGCAAACGTGCAACATGAGGTAGGCCTGAATTCACTAGTTATCTCTTTCCACTTTTTGCGGGGGTCAAATAATTCCTTCGCAAATAATTCGTAAGATGAGTAACACTGGAGTTTGGTTTATTGAATACGTTATAATCAATAAATATGAAATAGTGTGATTTCAGAGAGGTTTGACAGACACTTAGGCCTAATTGAAGACAACGTTATGTTAACCGAGAAGTTTTTGTATACTGACCAAAACAGAGAAGTAGGCTACATACTGCTAATTCAGTGATGAGAATTTAATTGTTGTTTTTATATATATTGTTGTCCATTTATCGAACTTCCATACCTCTTATATAGTAATTAAATATTAACTATGTATCAATTTACTAATGCTCGGACACACGCGGTCTCTCTCGCTGTCGATCGCGGAGTTCGCTTCGCTTTTGTCCCGTCTGGCGCCTCATAGACAGACGCTGTGTGTGTGTGTGTGTGTGTGTGTGTGTGTGTGTGTGTGTGTGTGTGTGTGTGCGAGAGGCGCGTGTGTGACAAGACGGAGTGACACACTGTCACAGTGACAGAGAACGAATACACTGCGTGTTTTAAATAGCGTTAAGAAAATAATAATAAAAACGAAACGCATTATGTGGCGGCCGGTGTTGATTCTGTGGCACACCGCCACGAAGTCTGTGTGTGGTGGGAAACACTGGACTGTTACCATGCTCTCAGTGTTTGATTATTAATGCCTGTGCATCACGCGAGTTGGACACAAGAGGAAAAGGTTAAGTTCAGCCTCGACTTTGTATCGTCATTAGTAGTGTTATTTTAACATTGTAAAGAGTACCAAATTGAACAAAACAATATAACTACAAAATTTGGATTTATGAATATCTAACGGTATTCTCGGTATCGCAAAATCCATATCATGGTACAACATAATACCGGTAGTCACGTTCATACCGGTATAGCGCCCACTCCTAGCGGAGCCTATACACAAGCTTCAGATACTCCGGCAATAACAACACAGGCAAATCTCACTGATCCAGAATCAGGAGTAACCAGCAGCGAGTGCAGCCTTACGGAGAGACTCAGGGAGAGTTTCACTTTTAAGGGCCGTACACACTGGGATGAATATCGGCGTGCGTTATTCGCCAGCGTTTTTCAACGCGTTTTTTGTGTTCACACCCAAGCGATTTTCGCTGACGTGTAGCCGAGTGAGCAAATTCATTCCCTGACATTAGATGGCGCTTAATGTAAAACAGAAATAGTCTATTTTGTAGTCGCTGTCGCGTTTGTCATATAGTTCTTTATGTTCCGACAGCAACGAGACCAGCAGCTCTACATTCATCTTGCCTTGCATCTTCCTCGTCTTATTTCTTCCGGGCAGTGTAGACGCTACTTGGCGTATATCTTTTACGCCGTTACGTATGTGTGCTCGGCAAGACACTTAGCAGCCTTTGTGTAGCCTACCGTTCAAATTCAAATTTTGGTGTTCAACTTAGCGTTTTAAAAATACAACAACCGTTCATTTTTCGTTTTTCAAATACGGGTTAAAAAAAGAAACACGAATGGACGAAAAAGTACACGGACCTTATTAAATATTTCAAATAATGTATTTGTCGAAAAGTTTGATAGTCTTGGGTCCGTGTAAATTTGCGTATTCGAAGGCTGGTTGCGTAATTGCGGCTCGACGAAAAGCATGGGTGTCGGAACCATTGTATATTGGTGGGACAAGACTCACCCACTTTTTAAGACCAATGATATTGGACCCACTCACCTTTACTGTCTCTAATTCAGCGCATATGTCTGCTCACTTTTCAGTCACTTGCAGTGATCTAATTGATTACTATTCCCATCTTAATAATGCCGTTACCGTTACTGCCAAAACAATGCGTTACTATATTTGATAGGGCTGTGTAACGATACACCAAACCCACGATTCGGTTCGTATCACGATTTTTGACGCACAATTCGAAACCTCGATTCTTTTGGGGGTGTGGTGACGCGGCGTGACACGTTCATGTAACATGTAAGGGTGGCGCTGCCAATAAAGCACCTAAAAGCTGTCACAAAGAACCGGCAAAGTAATAATTATGAATGTGTCAAATATAGCAAGGAGACATTTTAATTGTTTATTAATAAACAAGTGTTTTTGTGTGTGTCGGCTGCAAAGATGAAGTTGACGATGCTGACTGCGATCTTTGCCGTAGTGAACGCGCCAGAGAGAAATGCACATTTCATACGCATTACATAAGCAGAGAGCAGTCTGTTTTCTTTCGTTTTGAATTGTTCTGTTTAAAAGCTTTATATATATGTTTTTTTTTTCAGGTCTGTGAGGCAAGTAGGCTACCTTATACTTATAGGCTACGCTGAGTTTCGGTTCATTTATGAGACGAGCTCCAGTTCACGCGCCGGCGCCTCCGTGTCGTGATTATTGCCTGCTATATTTACTTCTTATTTATTAAATCCAGGCAATTGGTTGATGAAACATTGATTAAAATTAAGATACAATTAATACAAAACGAAATTCACTTTAAAGAAAGGCTTTCTGCTTTCTGTTTGATGTCTCTGTGAAAGTTTTAAAGCAGTCTTTAGTGCCGCTTTCCCAGAGCGGTCACGTCCGTAACGGAGTTTCATGTGTCCTAAGCGCGAGTCTCAGGTTCCTATGGGACATCATACGAAGTTTAAAACATTTAAATAGACACATCATGTAGTAATTAATGAATATGAATCTTAGTTGATTATAGGCTATTAGAACTGGTTGCTGAGACGGAGACGCGCTGTTTGATTTGTGGTCGTGCTGTGCTTATTCAATTCATTCAAGTAGCCTGCATATTGAACAAAGCTTAAATCATTTAAATATACATACAATAATATACAATATCCTATTTGAGTTGATATTACTCTTGCCAAGCTGTGGTTTCTGAGAGATGCACGCATAGACGGATTTGCGCTCGTTTCATTTTTACTCTCACTCATTCACTTCACTCATTATTGCATAGATATTTTAGATAAGGTATTTGGCTTCGGGAACACCCCTAATCTACTCCAGTAAAAAAAAAAATTTTTTGCTTCTGATGCCCATTTTCAAAAGCGACGCCAAATGCACCCTTCGTTTCCCCGTGAAAGGAAGAATACATAAATGGACCCTTCTCTGGAACCATACAGAGAGATGATAGGCTTTGCAAAGCACATACACCCTTGTGTGTTGTTTTATTATACTATGCATTACGAATCTACACAAAACTGGAAAGTATATACTAAGATGAGACATCGATCAAATGGACAATAGGGCCATCTAGTGGTCGATAATAATATGGTGGAAAAAAATACTGAGGAACTAAAAGAAATGCACAGTGTAGGCTGCAAATGCCTGATATACGGATGGGTTTACAAGCGGGGACCATACATTTGTCTAATATTTCACTGCCTTTGTAATAGCCAACATATAGTGATATTAGCCAACATTTGAAAAACATTGAGTAGCAAGATCACTATGGTTTAACCGGAGGTTTCCACTCAGCTGCCACGACCATCGCTGCTACTTAACTTAAAAACTTTACCCAGGTAGCCAGCGGAATCGGGCCAATCGCGGCTGAGTGTCGGCTCACTCGGCTGTGTACTGGCAGCGGCACGCCGGAAGTGAGCCAGCTCTG